TTTCTATATATTCCTGTTTTCAATATATGAATATTTATCTGTCATGCTCTTTTCTGTATTGACACCAATTGCCTTTATTATTATTACTATTATTATTATTACACAGGATTTATGTAGTGCCAACAGTTTGCTCAGCGCTTTACAATATAACGGGAGACAATACAGCAACAGTACAGTTCAATACAAGAGGGATTTGAGGGCCCTGCTCCTTGGAGCTTACAATCTAGGAGGGAAGGGCTAGTGGTACAAAAGGTAGTAACTGTGAGGAATGGACTGGTTGGAAAAATAGAAGATTCCAGTATTAGCTGAGGGCGGGATAGGCTTCCCTGAAGAGATAGGTTTTCAGAGATCGCCTAAAAGTGAGCAGAGTGTGCGATAGTCTGATAAATTGGGGTAGAGAGTTCCAGAGGATGGGGGAAGCTCTGGAGAAGTCCTGGAGACGAGCATGGGAGGGAGGAGACAAGGGAGCTAGAGAATAGGAGGTCTTGCGAGGAGCGGAGAGTACGGTTTGGGTGATATTTAGAGACAAGATCGGTGATGTAATTTGTGGCAGAGTTATAAATGGCTTTATACGTTATTGTTAATGTTTGGAATTTTATCCATTGGGCAACGGGAAGCCAATGGAGGGATTGGCAGAGAGGGGTGGCAGATACAGAACGGTTAGTAAGGTGGATGAGTCTGGCAGCAGCATTCATGATAGACTGAAGAGGGGATAGCCTGCGATGAGGTAGGCCAATGAGGAGGGAGTTACAATAGTCAAGGCGAGATATAACCAGGGAGTGAATAAGTTGCTTAGTGATTTCCGTGGTTAGGAATGGGCGTATCTTGGAGATGTTGCAGAGGTGAAGTCTACAGGATTTGGACAGTGATTGGATTTGGGGGTGAAAGGACAGATGGGAGTCTAGGATTACACCTAGTACCCTGGCCTGAGGGCAGTGACTGATGATTGTGTTATTGATCTTGATGGAGAAGTCAGGGGAGGGGGCACAGGCTGGGGGGGAATACTAAGAGCTCAGTTTTGGAAAGATTGCGTTTGAGGAAGTGGAGTGACATCCATGCCGATATGTCAGTTGGTTAGTAATACGAGAGGAGACTGAAGGGGTAGAAAGATAGATTAGTGTGTCATCAGCATAGAGATGGTACTTAAAGCCATGGGAGTTTATCAAGTGACCAAGGGAGGAGGTGCAGATGGAGAAGAGAAGGGGTCCAAGGACAGAACCTTGAGGGACCCCTACAGAAAGAGGGAGTGAAGAGGAGGAGGCAGCGTTATAGGTAACACTGAAGGAGCGCTGCGATAGGTAGGAGAACCAGGAGAGAGCAGAGTTTCTGAGGCCTTTACTTTGTTAAATCAATAAAACTATTGAATAAGAACCTTCCAAAGGTCAACAGTCAATTCAATGATTGATCCAATTGAGCAGCTGCATGCTCTATAGTTATACTCATACCCAGGTTCCATTAACATTTACTTTATATCCTTTGAAGTTTATAGAAGATAGAAGTCTGATGATCAATATGTGTTTATATTTGTGAGCTTACAGAGGAAATATAAGGTCTTTAAATGTACAGTATGTCTTTTGATATTTATTAATAAAAAAAACTTTTTGTACATAATATCTTATTAATATGCATATATGATTGCTAAAATGTAACTAAAGGCAGCTTTCTTTTTCATTTTGAATAGAGAAAAGGAGGGTTATAACCCCTGTCAAGTTTTTTTTTATGGTCCTCTTTGTCCCATTGGGGAAATTTCCCAGGACTGGAAAGGAGAGGAAATCCCTCCAAAAATGAGGAAATCTTGAGGTGTCACCAGGGTCACCTGGAAGATTTCCCCTATATTACTGCTCTGATGACAACTCAAAATTTTGGAATTTTCTTTTACTTTCACATTCAATGATAGTGGTAAACTGGTCAAATAGAGAGCGTAGATCTTCCTAATGAGGACACAGACAGCAATAATAACTGACAGGTGTTATAAGCCCTCCACCCTATTGAACACTACAAAAAAAAAAAAAAAAAAAAGTTTTGACTTTAGATACACTTTAAATAATATGTGCAAATAGAAGTCTTTCCAATTTTTGGTCCCATACAGAATATCTGATTAGTATTGGCCCAGGAGGCAATTGTTGTCCTGCCTCTCAGCCCAGTCCTCAGCTGCTACATATTAACAGAATAAAACTTTAATAATTTCTGTTGCTCTTACAGGCCTGATGGAATTGGAACGGTTACAGCTGAGGAGAAGGAGAGATTTGAAGAGATTAAAGAACGACTTGCATCACTATTAGAAAATCAAATCAGTCACTTCAGGTAAAACATTTTTTATAGATGAATAACACTGTAAAATGTCCAAGTTAAATGAATTGCCATGTTTTGTACAGGGAAAAAAAAATCAGTGGATCTCTTTATTGTATATCACAGAACATAGAGCAACCATATTAATCCTTACTCATAGGGTTATGCTCCAACAACAGATGATCATCTCCTATATAACACCCCCCCCCCCCATACAGGAAGTATCTTTGTTTTTTCACCTGTGTCTGCCTGTGTTTGCATTTCCAGCCTTGTTTGTATGCCTTGGCTCTTCTAGAGGAAGGCTTTAGTCCCCATGTGCACAGGACGTTTCTGAATGATGGAAACTGATTGCTGGAAAACGTAGGTTAAAAAAAGTATGTTTAGCCGCGTTTGCATAACATGTTTATACTCATTTATGTGCTTTTATGCGCATTTGCATTTAGAAGTGTTTTTTAAAGATTAGCACAGGAGAACCTCCCAAATGCCCAGAATGCACTGAAAAGTGGTAAATTATTAACTATTTCAGACTGTTTCAGAGAAATACACACAGTAGAAGCAGAGACAGCAGTATGTGTTGAGATAATTAGGTGTGAGTCGCTCCTTAACATTTCTTTTGCTTCCAAGGGTGGGAAGGCGTCTGCTGGAGTGAGTCATTAAGGTCACCTGGCAAGGGGTCTTCATGAGGAATTTGAGGTGTGAATGTGCATTAACATATCTTTTGTTTCCAAGAGTGGGAGAGGTCTGAGGTGTGAATTGGTCATTACAATGTGTGACAAGCTTGGCGGGAACATCTTCTGTTAAGTGTTTTGTCCATCTGAGCACCTTGAAAACTCTTTTCATGCATTTTTCATGATGATAAAAGGCTCTGGACAGCATTGGGAACTGGATGAGTTAAAAAAAATTTCAAACGCTTATAAACACAATTTAGATGCGATTAGCTGCGTTTACAAGCGTTTTGCGTTTGAAACACTGATAAAATCAATGTCTGAACGCAAGTGTGTTGCGTTCAAAAAAACAACTGTAAACTCAACTGCCTGTAAACGACTGTAAACAAAGATGTGTACATGGACACATAGGAAAACATTAGGGTGAGTTCAGGGGCTGCTGAAAAAAACACTGAACAGCTCCTTAATGTGAGTTTAGCAGCTGCAGTGTACATGAGCCCTTACAGTGCTGAGGTTCACAGGTTTCTGCTGCCAAGGGAGAAGGAGATAATATCCGGAAGATAAAATAAAACACTATCCTGGCAAGTATAACTATCCAAAACTTAAAAAAAAAAATACATTTGCTTTTAGAGTGGAGAGGGATTAGAACTCCTGTCAGTTTTTATTTGTGTCTGTGCCCCCCGTTAAGGAGATTCGCCCCCTTTCCAGTATTTGTCCTGTATACCATTATCATTGAAAGTGAGAAAATCCCAAATTTTGCATTGTCCCTGGAAAAGTAATAGAGGAGAAACCTTCCAATAAGGACACTAGCTCTCCTGACCTGGGGTCCCTAAGGGATTCCTTTAATTTGCAGGGATTTCCTCTCGCTTCCTGTTTAGTTGTGGGTCAGGAAGTGAAGGAAAATCTCCGAAATGGGACACAGATGGTGGAAAAAACTCTGGCAGGGGTTATAACGTTCCCTTGCTCTAATCAAAATGAGGGAAAATGCCTATAGTTTATTTTAATTCTCCCTGGCAGCATATTTTGTTCTGCCAATTCCACTTTTGTTTTTTCTCTAATATTTTTTCCTGCAACAGTAGTAAAACTTTAAACGGTCAGCTGATCGGCTTATAACGACTTGCTGATTATTGGAACAGTGCCAAGAATAGTAAACAACTGAGGCTGTGCAGAGCAGGGTAAGACAGTGCCTTAATGGATTTTCTACAGTATAGGCACTGATTTTTAATGCTTCACAAAGCTATAGCTGCAAAGGAGCCCAGCATTATGTAATCTATCTGGACTTAATTTTCTGACCAAAGTTCAGCTTTAATGCTTAAAAATGGCTACATCTGCTTTGAATTAAGTATTGCACTGTAACATTAATCCAAGCACTTGTTTTAGCATTACACAGTGTATCCAAGCATCTTTTTCTTTGGGGAGAGCTTTCTTATAATGTTCATTCTCCAATGATGTTGCTTCTTACCACCAGTTGTGAAAAACCGTGCAACTAAGCAGAAGAGTCTCACCAGACTCCAATATATAGGATTTATTAACATTTTAAACATTATTATAGGTACCAGCAACACTCTCTGACAATACAGTGCAGTTAAAACCGTTCCACAGAGGTTTTGATAATGTATTAACCGCTAGCCTACAGGGCACTTATACCCCCTTCTTGCCCAGGCCAATTTCCAGCTTTCAGCGCTGTCACATTTTGAATGACAATTGCACGGTCATGCAACATTGTACCCATATGAAATTTTTGTCATTTTTTTGTAACAGATAGAGCTTTATTTTGGTATTTAATCGCCTCTGGGTTTTTTATTTTTTCTTAAACAAACCAAAAACCACTGAAGATTTTGAAAAAAAAAAAAAGGTTTTCCTTAGTTTTTGTTATAAAATTTTGTAAATAAGTGATTTTTCTCCTTCACTGAAATGCACTGATAGGCTGCAGTGATGGGCACTGATAGGCTGCACTGATGGACACTGATAGGCGGCACTGATGGGCACTGATGAGGAGGCACTGGTAGGTGGAACTGATGGGCATTGACAGGCATCACTGATGGGCACTGAAAGGCAGCACTGATATATGGCACTGATAGGCAGCACTGTTAGGCGGCACTGACTTGCACTGTTAGGCGGCACTGACTGGCGGCACTGATTGGCACTGATGGGTGACACTGAAAGGCAGCTCAGATGGGCACTGTTATGTGGCATTGATGGGCACTGGTAGGCACTGATATTTGGCATTGATGTGGCACTGATGGGCACTGGCACGAGGCACTGATGGACACTGACAGGTGGCGCTGCTGGGGCTACACTGATCATCAGAGCACACTGATCACAGTGCCCCGATGATCTGTGTACATGTCCCCTCCGTGGAAAGCCGATTGCCGGCTCTCCTCTCCTCTCGAGCTGTCAGCGTGACAGCTCTAGAGGAGAGAAATGCCGATAACCGACATTTCCCTGTTTACATGTGATAAGCTGTGATTGGACACAGCTGATCACATGACCGAGCCGACATCTTCGGCTCTTTCCGTGATCGGTGATCCGCTATGTCCGAGGGACACAGCGCACCACCGATCGCCGCGCTGCACGCTCCCTGAGCCGCGCATGCGCGGTGAGAATGGGAGGACGTCATATGACTAGAGAACCACCTTGCGTTCATCATATTACTATATGGCGGGCGGGAGGTGGTTAAAGACTATTTTATAGTATTACACATTAAATCATGTATATGATTTTCTTTAAAATAGGTAAGCAATACCCCAAAAAACATTACTCCAGTATCACTTTTAATTGAAAATAACTTTCCTAGTCTAAGCTCCTAATTGGTGGCCAGTGTGAATAATTGGTGCTGTGCATAATCCTAAATGAGATGGTGGTGAAAAAAGGGCTATGTTATTTACATCTAATATGATCCTAATAATGCTTTAGTGTGTGCCCACTGGGACCTGTTTATCTGGGATTGTATGGGTAATCCCGGATCTATCTATCTAACAATCATTTAGAAACCGGATGGCTTGGTAGTTAAGGGGTGTAAACAAAGTGTGAAGTACTGTGAAGATTATGTTCATTCTTTGAAGAATTACAGCTTGAATAATTAAAATTGAAAAAAAAAATGCCGTAAGGTTTATTTAAACATGGATTACTGCTTAGAGATCTGAAAGCTACTTCATTATTCCTAATTAAAACCCACATTATATTATATTAATACTAATGAAACTAAGCTGTGCATAAAAGGATATTTTTCATTAGAGCAAGTTAATATTTTCTTTAGGTCTAATTCTTACAGCATACTGTACTGGTAGACTATCCATCCATAAAATGTGATAAATGACTCAGTGTCTCTTCTTCCTAACTATGAAGCTATAATGTGACACAGAAACTGTAATGTTTATAATGTCAAACTAATCTTCTGGGACCTTCCAGACATTCACTGATATGCTTGCTATTAGAATTGATTGGTGCAAATCAGTCAAGCTTGTTGTATTTTCCTGCTGAGACTTTAAATCAACAGTCAGGCTGGACAACTGGCTGAATAATCTAGATATGCAGACCTTTAGCTTCACGCTGGGTCAGTTGCAACAGCCCTATTTTGGACTTGGGCAGTAAGCAAATTAAACATCTTTTGGGGACATGTATGACCTGGTGCAGGAATCTGTGTCACAGTGTTAGCCTGGCTGACAGCCCTCCCACATTGGTGGTTATTATAATCTGTCTTGGGAGCCTTACCCACATGCTCTGCTGGATCAGTAAGTAGATGCCCCCTCCCTTCCCTCCCCAGAAGTGGTGTGGGTACTCCCTGGGGTGGTCGGTCCTGCAGTGTCCCCTACTCCCTCCTTGCCTCTGGTATTACCTCCTGTCCCTCCTGGCCAGGCTGCCTCCCCTCCTACCTCTCAGTCCCTGGTGCTTGGGCCAACTTTTCCTGGCATCCATGGGTGGGAAAGGGAGCCTTTTCAGTTGTCCCTGTAAGTTCCGCATGATAGGGGTTCCCTCCAGGAGTGTAAGGGGCTTCATTGTGACCACCATGTTCTTTACCATAGCCAATGGCAATTTGGGGATGGACAGGAAGGGTGGCCATTTTATGGTGGACCTTCTCGTTGACTTGTATGGGAGATGAAGTGCATGGTGGCCATTTTCTTATAGCCATGCAGCACCGGCCATATTGCTGGTGATTCCCCTCTTAAGATGGGTACAGAGTCAGTGCCTGGGACAGGAATGTGCGCTCTCTGAGGCACGGTCAGCACAACCTTGTCCATAGTTGGCTCACTGATCTCATTCACAGGCGGCAACCATGTCAGTACCCACGGTAGTCTCCTGGTCGTCGGGTGGTGGTGAGTTCTCCCAGGTGCACCTCTATCTCTGTTGTAGTCACCCTGGGGGCCGTTTTTGTCCCCCCTTCCCTCTGGGTGTCATAATTGTTGGCACTGCCTTTTGCCTAAGTTGGTGGGCTGTATAGACTCTTAGGTGCATGCTTCCAATCCTGGTCCCCTTATGGAGGCTGCAAGTCTGTTGGCAGTCTTGGGGTCATTCATCTCCTGAATAATGGCAGCATTCAGGCATAATGGTACCCAGAATCCCCCCCCGCCCCCCTTCCCGGTCACCTGCCCCTTTGTATTTTTCTGAGCCGGGCTCTGCTGCTGCAGGCTCTGCGATTTTCGGTGAATCCTGGAGTTGCCTCCCTTGATTCCTTGGACAGCGAGGTTGAGTCCTTTGCCTCTGTAATCGCACAGGAAAATACGCTGGTGACTGCTGGGGCAGCCAAATACCTGCATGTGGTGCCAAGCACTCCTGGATGCACAAGTCCACCAAGCCTGAAGTCTTCTTCAGTTTAAAGGTTTACCCCTACCCATTTCTAGGGTGAGGAGTTGTCTTTGTTGCTACTCAGGCCCATGGGCCTCACTCATTCCAGGCAAGTCAATCGTGAACTGGTTTTGTCCTGCTACAGGATAGAATTTCTTTCTTATCCACCAAAGAAATTATTTCCCTCCAATCTTTGCCTTCCACCATCATGCCTTTGGGCCCTGTGCAGGAAGGTGCAGGATCTGCTGTGCCAGGGAACTGTATTCCCTGTGTTTGAGCTGGAATAATTCCAGGGGTTGTTAGTCTAACCTGTTTATGGTTCCAAAAAAAGATTGGGGTTTGCCCTATTTTGAACCTTCATAGCCTTGAATTGCTTTATGCGGGTTCAAGATGGAATCCATCCCTTTGGTGGTGGCTTCACTTCATCTGGGAGAATTTCTGGTTGTGTTGAGAGACGCAAATCATCAATTTGTTCTGCTCCCCTTTGGCTTGGGGTCTGGGTCTTATGGTATCCACCTTCAAAATGGTCTCATATTCATAGTTCCATATGAGAGTTCTGCAGAGGGATATCCTGTTGACATCGGTCAAGTCTCATGCTTCCCTGGATAACCAGATTCATCTGGGCTGGTAAATGAGGGCCTCCTTCCGCTGGTGGCTCCAGTCTCGTCCCCTACAGGCCAGGAAATCCTTTTCCCCTCCACTGGATGGTAGTCACGATGGATGCCAGCTTGTCTGACTGGGGAGATATCCTGGGTTCAGATTGGCATTAGACCGCTGGACTCCAGAGGAGGCTCAGCTACCCATCAATATTCTGGGACTATGAGCAGTTAGGTTGTCTCTGGAGCACTGGATGGATCTTCTCTGGGGGCTCCTGGACAAGAGCTAGTTGCACAATGCCAGAGCAGTGGCTTTTGTGAACCACCAAGGCAGAGCAAGCAGTGCTGCAGTGGTGCTGGAAGCATCACGCATTTTGCGGTGGGTAGAACAACCCATTCTGGCTCTCTCTGCTGTGCACATACCAGGCGTTGAGAATGTTACCTCAGTCGCCAGGCCATGGATCAGGGGTAGTGGTCCCTGTACCCAGATGTGCTTCATCCTGTCTCAAAATAAAGATACAAGGGTTTGTGGCTAGAGCGTGGGACTCCCTGGTAGATGCACTGGTGGCACTGTGGGACCTCTATAATCTCATTTTACGCATTTCCTCCTCTTAAGATGCTCCCTCACCTGCTGTGCAGGATAGAGACCAGAGGGAAGTGTGGTCCTTCTGTTAACTCCAGACTGGCCTCATCATTTGTGCTATGCTGGTGTGGTGCGGCTGGTCACGGACACTCCCTGGCAGTTGCCCCCTTTGAGAGGACCTTCTGTCCCAGGGTCTAGTCTACCACCCTGCTTTACTGTCTCTGGCTTGGATGACATTGTTATTGAAGCCAGGTTTTGAGAAACAAGTGGGTTTGGTGATCCCTGCATTATTAAAGGCATGCAAGTCTGCCTCTCAGAAGATATATAATGATTATATTGCCTGGTGCAGGCCTGTGGGTTTCCATCCATGTTCCTTCTCGTGGCTCAGGTTTTGGCTTTTCTCAGGGCATTGCACAACAACTTGCTTTGGATATCATTTAAAGGCAGGTTTCTTCCTGTGCAATCTTTTTTTTGTTTTATATTTTTGGCGTCCCTTGTCCACGTATTCCTTAATCTGCACTTTCATCTAAGGGGTTCATCATGTGGCACCTCCCCTGTTTTCCCCATTGCCACCAAGAGACCCGAACATGGTCCTACAGAAGCCTGTCTTTGGGAGTATTCAGGGTATTCCCATTTTTATCAAAGTTGCCTTCTTGGTCTCCATCACTTCTGCTTGGTGGGTGTCAGAATTGGCAGCCTTTTCCTGTGAGTCTCCCTTTCCTGTCTTACATTAGGATAAGGTGGTTTGCGATCCATGCCCTTCCTTTCCTCCAAAGGTGGTTTTCGGATTTTCACATGAATGAGGGCCTTGTCCTGCCACCTTTGTGTTCTAATGAGGTTGTGTTGTGCACTTTGGATGTGGTCCAGGTGGTTCGTGTGTGCCTGTCTACTGCTGCTTCTATCCAGAGGTCAGATTATCTTTTGTTGCTCGCCTATGGTCCAAGAAAAGGCCTGGCGGCCTGCTCTGCTATTATGTCCTGTTGGATTCAGCAGGCGCTTGTTATGTCATACACCATTAGGAGTAGGGCTCCTTTCTTCCCCATAGTGGCATGCTCCACCAGGGTGACTAGTGCCTCCTGGGCGTTCTGACCCTATGCGTCTGTATTTCAGGTTTGCAAGGCAGGTTCCTGGTCCTCTGTGCACACTTTTAAAACAATTTCACAAGTTGATGTGTTTGCATCTTCGCATGCTTGTTTTGCCCCAAGGTTGTAGACCACTGGTTAGGATTACTTCTTTTTGGTTTGTGCACTCCTTCTTGAGACACTGCTTTTGGACATCCCTATGGTCAAGACTCAGAAGAGCTGTGTTTGTCGATGAATGTAAGAGAAAACAAAATTTTGTTACCATAAAATCCCTTTCTGTCAGTTCATTGATGACGCAGCACCCATCCCTATTTTTTGGAGTTTATACTTTTGATGTTTTGTGACTAGCTGGATTGCTTATAGAAGAGTGAGGATTTGTATCAGCTAGGAGTGACGTTAGGCGGTGCTGTGTTCTTTTTTTGTCTAGT